ATCGGTTCGATGAAATTCTAATTTGGTGCTTGATTACCATGTCACAAAAAGACTATCACCCAATTGCGTTTTCTCTAGAAGAAAATCAATTCGAAACCGTAAAATTCGTCGATATTTTTCTCCCTTTCAATATATCGCAATATATTTCAATATATGATTCAGGGAGATCTATACCGTTTATCTCTCATATATAACGTGCTTCCAAATAATAATGTACTAATATTTCCGGTATCAGTCGATGCTTTCCGAAAACTCGTTAATTATGCATTACCACTTTGCGCACGAGTTTGCTCGAATAAGGACAAATCAATGGAGCGCGACATCGCAATTGTAATCCACGATGGAAAATCATTTCGAAAGCGTCCGAATGGAGTATTAAATATCGTAATCGAGGGAGAGAGCGATTAACTAATTATTAGCCAATTGTACGGTTGCGCGGTCGAACGTCTAAGTTTTTAGTGTCGTCCTAGTTTTCCGCGCGGTTAATAAGGGATCGGTTATAAGGAATTAAATAACGCGGAATCGTGACTGCATCGCGATGCAGTTTCTTCCGAGACGGATCGCCACCGCAGCGTTCGCAACGTTTCGTCATAAGGAAGATGATCGCGCATGTGACGCGGCTTCCCGCGACAATTCATTCTGACGTAAACTACGTGACAAGGCTGCGTGGCGCGTTATCAATGGGCAAAAGATGTTACAAGAAACGAGATACGTGTGACGATATGAGTCATCTTCTAATTAAAATAACCGTATTGCGGCTGATAGTTATATGGGTTGCTATTTGATTACAGGATTACTTTAAATTTGCCCAGTGATATCCTTAGATATCAGCGTCCTGGTCCTGGTTACAGAGATAAGTATGGACCGTTAAATTTAAATTTAAGGGATCTTTAGTCCCTGACTTTGAACGTGTTTTCAAAGTCCTTTTTATTTACCTGCCAAATCATCTTCAGTTATTTCCAAAATAAACTGGTATGATTACGACAGTATGTAGCATGTGAATTGAAAACATTTTAAATTCTTTCATTATATTTAACAAAAAAATTTATATTTTGTAATAATTCAAATTTTTTTATACTATTGTAACATGTACATAAAAAATTACTTTTAGATTAGATAGTATTTTTATGGTATCACTATGTTAAACATCTTTTTGACTAAATATTGCTAATTTTATTCACATTTTTATTTCGTTTTTTTTTTATTTTATAATTATAACCGAGCATTCATAAGAAACCAAATCTTTTGGTACAAAAAAAAAGTTGTAATTAAATTTATGTACATCAATCTATCCAAATTGCAATTTAAAAGCCGTCAGATATTTTAATTAAAAAAAAAAAAAAACCGTTCTCGAAATTAGAATTTGATGGGCAAACTTCCTTACGTTAACACTTTACTTTGAATATGAGAGTGTCCGAAGATTTCTTTGCAACCATGAGAAGTCGTTACGTTTATTTCACGTTTCGATCTTTCAATTAAAACACGGAAAAAACCGGTCCACATCCGCGTTATTTAATATTCGATGGACTTGGACGACATTGATTCGTGATTCATTCCCTCGATCGTAGTTAAAGTTTGCCTGGAAAGTATTGACGACGCGTTCGGGCCCGTAACGTTTTCCCATGCGTAAAAGCCTGCTCGTGAACCAGTCAGGCAACATTCCTGTGTCCCGGCCGTGCACGTCCACCTACCTCTGACTTCCACTCGGACTTTCGACGGCGAACGTCGGTCGATGCCGACTTCGAGCGCGGCACAGTTAGCGACACAGTTTTCCGTTATCGTGCGATAAAAAGAAGCGAGATCGAGGCGCTGCTTAATGAAAAGTGGACCTGCAAACTTATTCACGAACGTGTCGGAATGTGACGACAAATAGACGTTGTAAAATAAACAACGGGCGAATCGCGAAAGAGATAGAATAGCTCTTTGTCATTTTGAAAGATATTTTTATTGAAAATACGATGGCCTTGATTGTTATTAACAGTTGTATTAATTATTATAGTACTTATGATCAGATTTTTTTATAAAGAAAAAATTGACTCGAATCAGATTATATTATGCAACAATTTTTTAAAATATATCAATATTATATATTAACGTATATAACTTACACACACACACACACACACACACACACACACACACACACACACACACACACATATCACACATCACACATATGTATATAAAATTTTGATGAAGTTAAAAGACATATATGAAAGTTTACTTCTTCAAAATTAATACTCGAGTTAAAAAAGAATTTTTCCTATGTAAAATTTCTCCAAGTTTTTTGTAATTCTCGAACTCACAATGATCTAAATTACTTTACGCAAAGAAGATGATATTTACTATAATAAATTTTTCATTAATGATTCATAATCTTTTTTATAATGAATATTGCAAAAATATTGACAAACATATTTTTCTCATTTTTTTCATTCTCAGGATGACAAAATGTGTGTTTACTTTTCGAAAATTTATCTTTTCAAAGTTAGATTCTTCAATATTATTCAAATTTATTCTTTGGAAGGCAAAATAATGAAATTTTTATGTTTATATTTCAAAAACGTTTGTATATCTCATATAAAATATGGATATAAATAAATGATAAGATTTAAATTTTTTTATAATACCAATTTCCATATTCCGTTTGTAGCTTTTTAACAGTTTATCGCTTTATTTCATATGACTATTCGAATAGATTGTACCATGTGTTAGCATTCGATTTCCATTTGTTACAACACCAGGCAACACCCCAAAGCATTATGTGCCAATGTGTATTGTGCATTTGATGCCAGATGTATTGGTCTCGCATAGCGAATTGCAACGAGCGTTCGTTACAATGTAATTCGCATGATCGTAAATAAAGTTATGCATTTCGGGAAACAGAGAATATCCGGTGACTAGGTGTATATGTGTGTGTGTGTGTGTGCTTAAAGACACGCGATATGCCGTAATAACATGTGTCATAATGTAAAAAAAGGCACGTACGATCGTGCATCTTCCGAAACATCGACCGATGAGAATCATAATAATAATTTGATACCGTCGCTGTGTTGCAATTATTAAACATTATAACGTTATCAATTATGACAATGTACTCTTTCGAATTCTTTCGAATTTTATATACTGCAAGCAGCTAAACAAATATAATTCCTAAAGCCCAGTCAAATTTTAATTAAAATTTCATTTAATTTAAGATTTCATTAGAGTGAGATTTCGTTTAATTAATCCTCTCAGATATTTAAAGACTGTGCAGAAAAGTTTGTGATAAAATATTTTCGTTGATTGACACTTCAATCTTTTCAATTTTTCTTAATAGTTAGTCGTTGTCGTGAGAGAGCAATTTTTCTTTGCCTTGAAGATACATAGGAAATGGTAAGTAAGCGTTTACCTCGCCGGTTGATACGAGGACTGAGTCATAAACACGATACGGCGCGACCCTGAGAATATTAGTCTCTCATTATATTTTATTTTGAAGACGAACCTATACACCTCACAAGCACACCAGATTTTTATCTTATCGCGAGCCATTAGTTCATCAAAATTCATCCAGTGTGATTACCATATAAACTAGCGTGGGATTTTTTAGATTCATAAATCTGTCTATTTCGCAATTTTCGATAGAACGTCATTCATGTTGAATGTGCACGTTATTGGCTCTGAAAAAAAAAAAAAAAAAAAAAAAAAAAAAAAAAAAAAAAAGAAAATGTTCCGTCGCCTACGTAAGTGTCACGCAATCGAAAGAATATAAAGCGCTGTCAAGAACGACTGGTTGTAACGAGTAATTTACAAAACATATCCGCGATATGACAATAAAACCGGGTCGTCGGTGGGCAAGCGAGGCGAAAGTATCTCTGCTGTTGCGCGACATTGGAGGCCATTTTGATGCATCTAGCCGCGCTCATGTACGCGGCTTTAACACAGGTATACAGGTGATTGGTGCGTGACATTTTGTAGGCATTGACGCATCTCCAGGCACCGACATCGCGACGCAATCGAACATAACCGACGGAATGAAACACATTTGTTTGCTCAAAAGTCTTTCACTATTCGAATCCTCGATTGGGGCGAGATGAGTCCATGTATATTTAAATTGTATAATTTATACCCTCGACTGTTAAATTCCTTTGCGATCTTCCCGAAACCAAATAGCTATATATAACTATTTAATATATAAACTATTTAATATATAAATATATAAATAGCTATATATTATTCGGAAATTAGATTTCGTCCGGGCGAATAAGATTTATAAAGCACTTTAAAGCACAAATTATTTCTTCTTGTAGAGAAGGAACAATTTGTGAATGACTCTTGTGACGAAACAATTTGTTCTGAAGAATTATCTTAATTTTGGCGACAAAAAATATTAAAAGTAAAAGAAAAAAAATACAAGAACTTTTAAAATATTAAATCAGACAAAGAAATAAATATGGAACTATTTTACATTTAATCACCGTTAGCGTTAATTTGCTCGCTACAAGATAAACACGTATCATTATTCAAAACATAGTCGAGTCATTGAGTGATCATAAATTTTTTTCTCTTCACAACAGAATGTGCAGTTGCATTATCTAACGGACAGACTCTTTGGCCAACATTTCTTTTATAACTATTTCTATCAATGCAGATTAATTTTAATCTTCAACTTTTTATTTTTTTTTTTTAGTTCTAAGAATTAGAAAAAGATAAAGAGTAAATTAATCCAAAAATTAAAAGAACTCTGACATTGAGATAGAAATTGATGATGTTAAATATTAATGTATCAATAGATCTCCTATTGTATATATAACTTTGAAGATGTACATATTTACGCGTTAGGTATATAACAGAAGTCTCTTCGTAATGTTTTTAGTGTCACGAGCATGGAGCCTCTACGAGGCATGCCTTGCGAGCACCGTTAAAGATCGAGTATCGATTGTGGATCGTGAGAGAGAGAGACTGTAAATCCGTGAAATCGAGGCACAGAGAGATAAGGAAAGAAAAGAAAAGCGAGAAGATCGAATTAATAAAGAAAGGAGGTTCATCATCACCGGTCGGCGAATTTAATTAAATTTATTGCGTATCGATCGTGATATTGGTTTGATTGTTTCCTGGAGGTGATCGTAAACAGCATGACAGCATTGATAGTGTCTACTATCATTGCTCTGCCCGTGTTGGCTAACGTCTTGCTGGCCGACCTCAATCTTCATGGCACCGTATGTGGCGAAAAGATCTGCAATAACTCGGAGTACTGCAGCCCCTTTGATATGCAATGTAGACCCTGTGCGATCGTTTGTAACGCCACGAGCCACAACTATCAACCAGTGGAATGTACGAGAGACTGTCAACGTGAGTAAATAAACGAGTATTTCCATTTTCTTAGGAAATTAGAGTTATCAGTGCATGGTTATTAATCCTTCGTCGTCAAATCGCGTTGCCTACAATCATCATTAAAATCGCGTGACTCCGGCCGGCGAATATAAAACCGACCCTTCAGACGTGAAAGTACGTGGGATCTTCCTTGACTTTCGCTCGGAAACGATTTCTGAAAAATTTCGCGCGCGCGGGTCTTGGAAAATCTCAGGAAAAAAGAAAGACGTTTTTGTTCCTCCAATTTCGTGTCCCGCAAAGTCTCGGACTTCGAAATCGGTCGGGCCTTTTATCGGGCGCCTATCGCACGGTGCCTATCGTTCTGTCGTTCCGATTTCTCGTTTTCACGCGAGCCGACCGACATGTAAACGGGAAACCGGATAGCAGTGCGGTATCGTCGTTTCACCTCTGCCGAGCGCGGCGACGAGCGAGCTTGGCAAACCAAAACCCGGGTTCTCGGGTCCGTTGACTTTGCACCTGACTGTTCCTACCGACTTCCCACACGCGAACGGCGGTCGATGAGTCACCTAGCTTCTTTTCTTCCTCCCTTCTCGCCCCGCCGTCCTTTTTCTTTCAGCCTCTCCGAGGAGGCCTCCTCTTCTCCTCGTTCTTTTTTTTTTTTCTTCTTCCCTTCCCATTCCCGCTTGGTATTCAACCGCTGGTTCCGCAATGGAGACGGGGGGAGAGATGTATTTCATGCTCCGACAGGTAGGAGAAACCGCAGGCTCTTCGCTCCTTCTTGGGACGCGCGAAGAATGAAATTCCCCCTGCCTTTACAGCAAAGGATGCTCTTTGCGAGGGGAGGGGGGAGGAGGGAGGGAGGGACTTGATTTGACTGTAGCTTTGGTTCGTATGAAATTGTCGGGCCCACATTCGGCTCCCCATTGAGAGTCCCCGTTACGGTGTCCGGTTACGTTATGTGGGTAAACTCACTTCGGACTTATGTATAATTTTTACATTGAGGGGGAACTTGTTGATTCTGTGTGCCATGTAATGAACGTAAAAATGTCGAAATAGAAAACTGGAAAAGAAAGATGCCACCCTTTTCACATCTAGAATATTTACATAATATTTCTTTTTTTTTTTTTTTTTGAATAATCAAAACGCGTGTATGACCAATTGTGATTTTTTTAAATATTATTTAATATTCAAAAAATTTATTTAAAAGAATAGAGAGAGGCAACATTAATAGCCGATATAATTTTGAATAATTAAATATCCGAATTAAAATAATTTTCTTTCCTTTGCTTGTAAATCTGACTTAGTTTGCCGAGTCCGAGTAGTGAGTCGATTCACGCAAGCTCGTCGTCCCAGGTCTGGGTTTAAACGTTTGCCTCTCTTTTCGATTTGGAACGGGGTCATCTGGCGTTTACAATCGGGATAAGGCGTAATCGCGTTCTCACGTGTTACACGTAAGCACCGTAGGTCGGAATTGTTTGTGCCACGAGTTGCTATCGCGACCGACTTCTCAGACCTTACGCAGGCGCGAAGAAACTTATGCTTTTTGAGAGGTAGTCCATTGACTCAAATAAAAAAGAAGTGGAGAACGAATGTGAAGACGAAATGTGCTGAAATGAGAAGTGGTGGTAGACAAATCGATCGCACGTAAGCAAATAAATTTTGAAGAATGTGATTTTCTTTAAAATCAACCCCGAAGAAATAGAAATATA